GTCGATTACAATGTTCTGGACAAAATTGTACGGCTGTATTGCCATATTTGCAACATGGAGCGTAATTTTACTGCCGGTAAAACACAGTTTCCATCATAATTCTCTGTTAAATGTTTATGTTGAATTGTGAAATATTAATGTTTTTTTGTAATATCCACTTTTTTATTAATGAAACTGAAAATTACAAGTAATTTAACCCTTTACACTCGAGAGACGACTCAGTCGCTACTGGCAATTGGAATGGCAAAGTCCTCGAGTGCAAAGGGTTATGAATGCATGATCCGACGAAATATTCGATTTTTTTTCTTAATAATAAATGAATTTATTACGAACAAGTTACTTTTTTTTTTTTTTTCATTTAATGGCAAAAACAAGCCGAATTCCAAATTTTTGAGAGTACACTGTAATGAAAAATTTTAAAAGTGTTTACTATCTATTACATGCAAGTTTTTTAAAGTATAGTGCATATTGATTTTCATTGTTTGCAGCTGATTTTTTCTTTCAGACTCGTAGATTTGAGTCACTTACGCGGGATATATTCTTCCATTTCTTAATCTCTCATTCAAATTTGTAATTAAACATTGACACTTCTTGAAGTTATTTTACTTAATATATTTCATGTTTTAAGTTTACCAATGACGGGGAGATTTTGTCAGAAGTATGAGTTACTCTGTAGTTACATTTTCGGACGGGGATACATCGGTAGTTCCATCGATTTGGGTGCATGAGTCTGACGATGTAACGACGTGTTGGTGGCCTATAAGGTGCAAAAATACAAGGATGTTAATTATAAAATGTGTAGAACCCGATCCAAACGAATGGAAGTTATTCGACGCTGTTGTTGAGCGGAACAATCATAAGTATATATTATGCTTTCTATGTATACAATCTTTATAGGCACATCATGTTGTTGCTACGAGATCTCTTGCGTTTCATCGATCTTTGACTAGTGAGATCGTAAAGAAAAATTTCATAAATATTTTAGTGTCTCTGGCAAAAGCTCGAAAGATAGCAGGAAATTCAGAGCATACAAGCACTGATGATGATAAACAAGGAAGAGGTCATCGCCGCAAGACAACTAAAATCATCTATTCACCAAATTATTCTAATGATAAAGACGATGAAGATGATAGTGGAGAGACAGATGAGAATGGAAACGAGAGTCTATGGCAGACGGATAATACGAATGTAACGAGTAAGATCACCATTTAAAAAATGTTTATATTTTAGTAAATACGTCTATTATTTTCATTCAATTACCATTTGAATAATCATTTTCAATATTTGTAGATTCTCAAATGTCACAACTTCCTTCATGTCCTCGGGCATTATTTCAATCACGAAGAAGCAGTGATATCCCTCGTTCAATCAACAGAAACTCTTCGCACTCGAATATTATTCCTCGTACGTGTGATTTCCCTATTATATTTAGTGTTATTCTACATTCTATTCATAAATCATGTATTATAGAATTCGTAACCCGTGCCGTGATATAAACAACGAATGAAATTCAACATAATAATTCCGCTACGGAAATTACTAACAACTGTTCATCTGGTCAAATTGACGAAGGAATATCACATTTGCACTTATTTTTACTTTGATAATTTGAATTGCCCTTAACAAATTCTCTCTTCATACATAGTCATAGTTCTTAATGTTAAGGCTCAATATTCGAGATCCTTCAAAGTTGAAACTATTGACTGCCTCTATCTGTTCTCCCTTGTAAATGTACTTCCGCCTCTCCACTATTGCCGCTTCTATCCTAGCATTACATCTTCAACAACGAGAACAACCCACCCTTAATATTTTATTATTGTATTTGCGACTATTTTCTATGTTCTTGTAATTCACGATATTACATACTGATTGATTTATTGATTCGTTACTTAGGGACAGCTGTTTGTTCTTATTACAATGATAATTTGAAGTATCGAGGACGTGATGCATCTAATGGAAACACCAATGTCTTATTACCACTTACAGAAAATAACAGTCCATCAAAAGAAGAAGAAAAAAATATCTTTAAAGTACTGGTGGATTTACGTCGTAAGCCAAATATTTATTACTTTAATATTGAAATAGATCTGTTATGTATTTCTATTAACAGCAACAGATTTATTTTTTAATTGTTGGAGCGAATATTTACATCGTACTTGCGGTTTGCTGGAGAAAAATTAAGTTTTAAGTAACTATTTATTTCATTCGCCATACCATAGAACTTGTTTTACGATAAAAATTCTTATTTACATTACACAATTTAATACAAACTTTTTTAATGGTGAACTACCAGGTCTCCTCATCGTTCTAATACAACTTTGCAATAATCAATTTTCCTATATATTGTAATTACAGGCAAACAAGACATGTTAATGGGCTTCTTAATAACAGATAAAAATGAATTGAAATTGGATATTATCACGAGAATGCTAATGCATCAACAAATTCAACTTACTGATCTAACTCAACGTTTCGAGAAAATCAGTTGCCCCAACAATATTCGTAGTTCCACGGGCACCATCAATGGCATGTTGCCCTTAAAGTCACTCGAAGATATAACGGTGTTCAATGATAACTTGAATATACAAGCGCGATGCAATGAATTTGTAAGTTAATAATCCTATTAATACATTTTTAATAAATTGTCTTTATGATATCAATGAAAAAATCAATTATTTGTATTCTTGCTATTTATAGAAAACTTTTATCGCAAATCAAGGCTGTGATGGCAGAGAATCTGACGTTCATAAAATATTGGCAGCAATATTCACTAATAAATGCGCGACAATATGTACTTGGGCTGAACGGGGCAATTGTATTAATATAATTTTGTATTAATGGAAGATATGTATTTATTCAATAAATTTTGAAAACACTCATCTTTCATACACTATATCGATCAAAAATGTTATTTCAATTTATTACAGATTTACTTGTTGGTCAGAACCTGAGTATGAAAAAGTTCGACGAATATGTTCAGAAATGGTTTATTTTTGGAAATCAACGATATAAAAGAGATCGTCTACGAATGATTGGGAGTGAAAATGGAAGAACCGACGTAAAGGGCTAGAAGATTATGATGTTTAACCCTTTCATTACTACGAGCCATTATAGTGGCCTTCCATAAGATGCCACTGAGGTACTACGGGCCACTATAGTGGCTCGCTATAAAATGTTACTGAGGTACTACGGGCTACTATAGTGGCCCTCCATAAGACGCTACTTAGATATTGCTACTAGCCGTTCTGCAAAAGTATCTCTCTCTGGACATGCATTGATAGTATTATATTTTGCATCATTTGTTTCTGACAGCCGAAATAACTCAGTGCTTAGCAACCTATATGCCTCGACAAACAATCTCGAGGTTCTGTGCAATAGTTCGTAGCGAATAAAGTCAGTGCTTATTACAGAAAGATAGTTCATCTTATTTTTCTTCCAATAAACGGATAAATAGGTATGCCTCATTGTTTTTCAATTTTGTTTAAAATTTTGTTTATTATTGTTTTTAATTTTGTTTATTTAGATTAATTATTTCTGAACAGACTTTATCTCACCCCTAAAATGATGACAAATAATAACAGAAAAAGACGTATTGATGAAATCCAGAATTATTCGGATCTGTCAGAAGGTGACGACATAAATTTAAATTTGGCAACAGAGAGACCTCATAGAAATAGTGAAATATTTCGAGAAATGATATCCAGCACATCCGAATACGAAGAAGAATGTTCATCTAAATCTGAAAAAGATCTCACGGACATTACATGGGCCAACGACTTATTCCAGCCGACTTTCCATAAATTCAATTCCAAGCATTCCGGAATAAAGGCATTGTTCCGTGCGCGACATTCATATATATAAATTTATCGCGGACTTTGGAATGTCAAACAAATTCCCAGAAAGGGACTTACTGCCTGCTTGGGCCCATCGGGCCATTTACCGATTTAACAATTTTCTAACGCCGAAATCAGCTCGTAAATTTTAGTTTTCTACGACACGATTATATTGCCCTGTACGTCCCATCGCGGAAGTTTAGGGTTCTTTAGAATTTTCTCGGGTTGACCGTCCCTATTCTTTACCGTTTACCTTTTTTAACTTTACCGCTTACACGTGCGCGCAACATGCACACGTGCATACAGCATGGTTTTCCATCTGCACGGCAACGAGAAATTTTCCGATTTCACCCAACCGTATTGGACAGCTACCGACCAATCACGAGGCTGACTATTTGATTTTAACCGCCCTTCTTAAAATCAGTCAGCCAATCATTATGCTAGAAATGCTACCACCTCCTCAAAAAATGTAATGCGACCGGAGGAGGAATTCTGTAATTTTTCTGTAAGTCAGTCACTCTCCGTCTCTCGACAATTTAACACGTCTCTCGTCAGCCTTCACCATCAGCTCTGTAACAGTTATCCTTATTCACGCGTGAAGAGCTGACAAAATTCTAAGTCAGTCGTCAAATTTAATATTATAATAAATTTAAGCTGTTTTGTTCGCGATAGTCTCACTTGTCATTCGGGTACCTTCCTTCTGCATGTGAGCAGTTGTATGAATATCTCATTTTGCAATTCCACTTGCAAAAACCAACGAGATTCATACAACAACTGCCCGACAAACTAGCCGGGCAGAACATTTTTTGGTCCTTCGAGCCGGATAACTGAACATTTGTGCTGTGCAACCCGTTTGTAAGTGAGTTCGAGGCGGAATCCAGAAGCTACTCATTTCTTTCTTCGCGACTGCAACCGAGAGAGACTTCTGCTTTTCGAGAGGACCACAGCTTCCAGAGGACCACAGCTTCCAGAGGACCACTGCTTCCAGAGGACGACATCATCTGCCATTCCACGACGCGGTGCCGATTTCGCAGCTCTGCTTCACTCGACAGTGTTACTAGCTGCCTCTGCTCATCGACCCGTAAGCTCGTATATCATTGAGTCGTCCATTCCTTAGATTGTCCCTCTTTCGTTAACTGTTGTTAGTACCTTCGATTCTCGGTAACCATGTCCATCGATATGAAAGCTCTGATCCATAAGCGTGGCTTGATTAAGAGTCAGTTAACGCGACTTAAGAATGCCGTTGCCGAATATCGTCGTCGTCCCGCCGATTGTGATCGACTTCTTCCTGCATTGAAAATTAGTGTTTCCAAGGTAGAAGACTCCTGGCCAGTGTTTGACGAGATTCAAACTCAAATCGAGCTTCTAACCGTAAACGAGGATGCTGGAGACAATTTCGAAGATCCCAATCGTATAGAATTCCAAAACACCTTTTATGAAACTGTAGGCGCTGCGAGAGAAATTATAGATCGAAGCCTCATCAGTAACTCAGCGACTACGGCAAGTGTGTCAACTGTTAATAATGACAGCGCTCCGAGGAATACAAATAATTTCAGACTGCCGAAACTAGAATTGCCGTCATTTAATGGATCTTATGACACGTGGTTAAACTTTCGTGATACCTTCGTCTCAATTATACATTCCAACGCGAGTCTTCCCGACGTACAGAAATTGCACTACCTTCGGTCATCTCTTAAAGAAGAAGCTTCCGACATTATTGCGTCTTTAGAAACGTCGTCCGAAAATTACTCTGTCGCGTGGAATCTTTTGACGGAGCGATACGATAATCAGCGCATTATTATTTTAAAGCATATCGGAGAACTTCTTAACTTCACCCCACTGATTAAGGCAAATAATCAAGCCATAGGTCAATTAGTATGCACCTTTTCCAAGCACATCAGAGCACTCAAGGCGCTTAAGCAATCGACGGAAGCGTGGGATTCGATATTAATCGGAATTATGTTAACAAAATTCGATACGGAAACTCGCATTAAATGGGAAGAATCGTTGACTGGTACCGATATGCCGACTATGAGCGAAATGACCGCATTTTTAGAAAAACGAAGGCAAGCTTTGGATGCGACAGCGATAGGATCAATGGAAATTAATGCTAAGGAACGTAATCGCGTGCTCAGTACAGCACCACGTCAGAAGTTTAAGCAGCAATCGTTCCTTACAACCGACTCAAAGTTTTCTTGTTCCATATGTAAAGGTCCACATCAAATCCAAGTCTGCAAGGATTTTTTAGCCCTGTCTGTTCCAGAGAGATATAATCTGGTAAAAGAGAAGAAGTTATGTTTTAATTGTTTGCGATCAAATCATATGGTGCAAAATTGCAAGTGTTCTCGATGCACAATCTGTTCAAAGAAGCATCATTCTAAGCTCCATCCTACAACGGCTCCAGCAACGGTGGAAATCGCTGAAAATCAGACAGCTTCGTCGCAATCTGTTACCCTGCAAGTGTCTGCATCGACACAAGTTTTATTATCCACTGCATTGGTGCACATTTGCGACAGTCGAGGAAAGCTGCACCCATGTAGAGTTCTGCTAGATTCGGGCTCACAGTCGAATTTTATTACAGAGAAATTAGCGACAGATCTCCAATTACTGAAGAAAGACGTTGATATTCCAGTTGCCGGACTGAATCAAGTTTTTACAAAAATTAATTATCTCGTCTCGACCACTGTGAAATCACGAGAAACTCAATTCGAATCCACTCTCTCGTTTCTAGTAATTCCGAAAATCACAGGCTATCTTCCTGCCGATACAGTGGATGTGGCACACTTAAATATTCCGAAAAACGTAGTGCTTGCAGATCCCGAATTTTATAGACCTTCACAGATAGATGCGTTGCTAGGAGCAGAAATCTTTTACAAATTACTGTGCATTGGTCAGATTAGATTGCCTAAAACAGCAGCGACATTGCAAAAAACTCATTTTGGATGGGTTATTTCGGGTCGCATACCGTGCACAGATATTGCGCCTACAACCTGCCATACGTCCACTGAAGGTCTTGAAAATCATCTAAGAAAATTTTGGGAAATTGAAGAAATCCCTCCTACACACCGGTTATCGTCGGAAGAAATTGCATGCGAGAAGCATTTTCAAGAACACACTCAGCGCGACTCGTTCGGACGCTATATAGTTCAATTACCCTTTAAGGAAAACCTTGAAGCTTTAGGAGAGTCGGAAAAATTAGCCTCACGAAGATTTTACCAAGTAGAAAGGCGTCTACAGTCAAATCCGCAGCTGCGAAATCTTTATTCGGAATTCATGAGAGAATATATACAGTTAGGCCATATGCAGGAGATAGCAGATCCCGTAAACGGTTCAGGCTACTATCTTCCTCATCATGCGGTTATTAAAGAAACGAGCCTTACAACCAAACTCAGGGTAGTTTTTGACGGTTCTGCCAAAACTACCACAGGCATTTCTCTGAACGAAACCCTTCTTGTCGGCCCGACTATTCAGGAGGATATATTCTCTATTATAACCAGGTTTCGCACGCACGAATATGTTCTTACAGCCGATATAGAGAAAATGTATCGACAGGTCAAGCTCCACGCTAAGGATACTGCATATCAGAGAATACTCTGGCGTGAAAATCCATCCGATGAGCTGAAAACGTACGAGTTAAATACTGTTACATATGGACTTGCATCTGCACCCTTTCTGGCAATTCGTACGCTTCACCAATTAGCTAAGGATGAAAGAGACAAGTATCCCGCAGCAGCTGAGATACTTATAAGAGATTTTTATGTCGACGATCTGCTCACTGGAACCACCACATACGAAGATGCAGTAATTCTGAGAGACGAATTAACTCAACTGTTACAACGTGGGGGGTTCAATCTACGGCAATGGTCGTCAAATGAGCCATCGTTAATTAATTCGCTGCCTGAAGAAACGGTAAATCTGCAACTACTGACCGATTCTTCGCAAACGACAAAAACGCTAGGGGTCCATTGGAATTCTGCTCAAGATTGCATAGTCTACACTATCAATACTGCATTTACATCGTCTCGTGTAACGAAAAGAAACATGCTGTCGTATATTGCAAAATTGTTTGATCCGTTAGGATTATTAGGACCCGTAATAGTTACTGCAAAAATTATTATGCAGCAGTTATGGCAACTGAAGACTGGATGGGACGAATCGGTACCTCAGGATACGTTCATTTCATGGATCGCATATGTGGAGCAACTAAAGGCCATAAATAATATGAAAATTCCTCGAAAGGTAATTATTCGCGATGCAATAGAAATTGAATTGCACGGATTTTGCGACGCCAGTGAGAAAGCTTATGGAGCCTGCATTTATCTCGTTTCCTCAGATCGACATTATAACCGGGAATCTCAGCTTGTATGCGCTAAGTCCCGAGTTGCTCCGCTCAAAAGCATTTCATTGCCACGTTTAGAACTGTGCGCAGCCGTGTTGTTAGCCCGATTATATAAAAACACTGTCAAGGCCTTAAGGGTCACCCTGTCAAAATGTACATTCTGGTCAGATTCAACGATCGTTCTCCACTGGATTCAAACTTCTCCGCATCAGTTAAAAACGTTTGTTGCTAATCGCATTTCTGAGGTACAAGATTTGACAAATACCTCAAACTGGAGACACGTTCGGTCGCAAGATAATCCTGCGGATTTAATCTCTCGAGGTCAATCAGTTCCTGAGTTACTGGACCACTCACTATGGTTTTCTGGACCTTCCTGGCTGCTAAGCAATGAGAGTAACTGGCCTGTTACCCAAATCCATCTCGACGTTATCCCTGAACAACGAGCATCAGTTATCCTGGTTACGTCAATACCAACGTGGGATGTTATTAATAAATTCTCCTGTTTCACTACTCTCGTCAATGTAATCGCGTATTGTTGTCGCTTTATTAATAACTGCAAGAGAAGGGAACGCAAATCTGGATCGCTTACAGTGGACGAAGTACTGTATGCAAAAAATAAAATTATAAAATATATGCAGCAACAGGAGTTCGCATCGGAAATTCGCGAAATTGAAGAAACCGGCACGGTGCAACGAAGGAGCAAACTTCTGGCATTGTCTCCTTTTCTAGATGCGGACAGACTTCTTCGAGTAGGAGGCAGATTGAATAATGCAGGCATCCCCTACGACGCAAAACATCCGATCTTGCTTCCTAAAAATCATCATGTGACAACGTTAATTGTAAGGCGCGAACACATGATTCATTGGCACGCAGGTTCTCAGGCAACGCTATATGCTGTCAGGCAACGATATTGGATTCTGGACGGAAGGAACACGGTTCGTAAAATAATACGAAATTGCATCCGTTGTCTCAGGGCATCTCCAAGGGAGACAAATTATCTAATGGGCAATCTACCGGAATCAAGGGTTACACATGCCAGACCGTTCACGAACTGCGGTATAGACTACTGCGGACCATTCTTTATTAAGGAAAAACGGTTCCGAAATAGAAATAAATTAAAGGTGTATGTTGCGATTTTCGTCTGCTTTATAACAAAGGCTGTACACATTGAGCTCGTCAGTGACCTGACCACTGAAGCCTTCGTCGCCGCCCTTCGAAGATTTATGGCACGGCGCGGGAAATGCGTCAATATCTACTCAGACAATGCGACAAATTTTGTAGGCGCAAACCGCGAATTACGAGAACTTTATGATCACGTTAGGTCTAAAGATCACAATGAGAGGGTCAGCCGAGTACTGCTGCAAGAAAACATAAATTGGCACTTTAATCCTCCCAGAGCTCCACATTTTGGCGGATTATGGGAAGCGGCTGTACGCTCTTTTAAACACCACATGGTAAGAACAATCGGAGACACGCTGTTCACATATGAGGACTTACACACATATGTTACCGAGATAGAGGCGATTTTAAATTCTCGTCCTTTGACCCCTCTATCCTCTGACCCCAACGATCTTCTCGCACTAACCCCCGCACATTTCCTTATTGGCGACTCATTGACGAGCATTCCGGGCCACGACTTTTCTGAGACGCCTGCTAACAGATTATCTAGTTGGCAGCATATCCAGAAGCTGAAGCAGCACTTTTGGACCCGCTGGCACAAGGAATATCTCAATGAGATAAATGGTAGATCGAAATGGCGGGAGACATCAGCCAACATCAAGGTTGGGACTCTGGTCGTTGTCAAGGAAGACAACGTACCACCTCTACACTGGCCCCTGGCGAGAATCATCGAAGTGCATCCCGGAGCAGATAACGTTGTCAGGGTTGTGACAATAAAAACGTCGAGTGGGGTGTACAAAAGAAGCGTGAAGCGAATTTCACCGCTTCCAATCGAGATATCTGCTTAGAGGCTGTTAAGGACCTGTAGAATTATGTTTAGTTGATAAGTTTATTTATTCATGTTACCTTTTGAACGTGACCGTTCAAGGGGGCCGGGATGTTCCGTGCGCGACATTCATATATATAAATTTATCGCGGACTTTGGAATGTCAAACAAATTCCCAGAAAGGGACTTACTGCCTGCTTGGGCCCATCGGGCCATTTACCGATTTAACAATTTTCTAACGCCGAAATCAGCTCGTAAATTTTAGTTTTCTACGACACGATTATATTGCCCTGTACGTCCCATCGCGGAAGTTTAGGGTTCTTTAGAATTTTCTCGGGTTGACCGTCCCTATTCTTTACCGTTTACCTTTTTTAACTTTACCGCTTACACGTGCGCGCAACATGCACACGTGCATACAGCATGTTTTTCCATCTGCACGGCAACTAGAAGTTTTCCGATTTCACCCAACCGTATTGGACAGCTACCGACCAATCACGAGGCTGACTATTTGATTTTAACCGCCCTTCTTAAAATCAGTCAGCCAATCATTATGCTAGAAATGCTACCACCTCCTCAAAAAATGTAATGCGACCGGAGGAGGAATTCTGTAATTTTTCTGTAAGTCAGTCACTCTCCGTCTCTCGACAATTTAACACGTCTCTCGTCAGCCTTCACCATCAGCTCTGTAACAGTTATCCTTATTCACGCGTGAAGAGCTGACAAAATTCTAAGTCAGTCGTCAAATTTAATATTATAATAAATTTAAGCTGTTTTGTTCGCGATAGTCTCACTTGTCATTCGGGTACCTTCCTTCTGCATGTGAGCAGTTGTATGAATATCTCATTTTGCAATTCCACTTGCAAAAACCAACGAGATTCATACAACAACTGCCCGACAAACTAGCCGGGCAGAACAGGCATCAATTAGTTATTCAGCCCCGATTTTAGAATATTTTCAATTATTCTGCTTTGAAGATTTTATAAATTTCATTGTCGGCACGACAAACAGCTATCGCAGTAGCCTTGATAATAATAATAATATGATAAACTCCCAAAATACTTATCTCCCAGAAATGTATTGCTTTCTCGCCCTCAAATTATTGATGTCGCGAAATAAAAAACTATCATATTCTGAATACTGGTCTAACGACAAACTTTTGAGGAGCAACATTTTTAGAGAGGTCATGAGTAGGGATCGGTTTTTATATTTGTTAAAAATTTTACATTTTAATACGAGCAATGTGACTGCAGATGTTGATAAGTTATATAAAATAAAAGAAATTTGTGATAAGCTGCGACAACGTTTTCAGGAGGCATTTTATCCTTTTCAAAATCTATGTATTGACGAAAGTTTACTCCTGTATAAAGGAAGGTTATCGTTTAAGCAATACATACCCTCTAAAAGAAACAGATTTGGAATAAAATCATTTGTATTATGTGATATCCAATCTGGGTTTGTGCAGGATTTCATTATTTATAATGGCTCATTAACTACTATAAATTGCGTAAATGAATTTATTGGAAGGTCAGGTAACATAGTAATAAAATTATTAAAACCTTATTTAGGCAAAGGCCATACTTTATACATAGACAATTGGTATACAAGCCCCGCACTTTTTATTCTTTTGCACAAAAATCTAACTAATGCTTGTGGAACGGTACGTAAAAGGCGAAAAGGCATGCCAGTAATCCAAAATAAATTAAAAACTGGTGAAGCGAGTTGTCGCTCTTCAAGGTATTTATTAGCGATGAGATGGTGTGATAAAAGAGAAGTACACATACCCTTTCCATAGCGAAGAATTTGTTGATACGAAACGTCATTATCGGACTGGAGAAATGATTCAGAAACCAAAGTGTGTTGTTGATTACAATAAATTAATGGGAACTGTGGACAAAACAGGTATGGTTATCAGCACCATTCACTCACAACGCAAAGCGTTGAAATGGTATAAGAAATATTTTTTTTATTTAATTGACATATGCGTTTGGAACGCTTATTGCTTATATAAGTTAAAAACTGGAAAACAAATGCCAATGGCAAGCTTTCATCTAGAATTAATTCGTCAACTTTTATGTCATTATCAATCTGATAAAAAGAATACCATTGCGAATAAATCAGGAGAAACGAATCCACTTCGCCTTACTGGAAGACACTTCCCGTCGCTATATACAAATGAAGATCCAAAACGGAAGAATCAGCTGCGAAAGTGCGTAGTTTGTTCAAAAAATGACAAGAGAAAGAGGTCGCGATACCAGTGCCAAATTTGCAATGTTGGCCTGTGTGTAACGTCATGTTTTAAAAAAATATACGCAGTTACATTATTAAAGGCCATTACAATCATATTATATTATATTATTTTATTACATTGCATAATGTTATTTCCTCTCATACTGTACATTAAAGAGAGCATGCTAAAACGGTATAAATACCCTGGAATACTCTTTATTTACACATACCCTTTGGAGAAAAATCTTTTCGTTCGAAAACATACAAGCAGCTTGGGTTCTCCGCCGCGATACTCCCACTGACGATCGGCGTCGCGTAGCGTGCAGTGATGTCGCGGCGCGTCGCAATGCTCCGTTCGGCGGAAGTACCGCGGCGGAGAACCTGGCCGTAGCGAAAGGGTTAATCTGTTTAACCCACGATCACGATACAAATACAGATGTCATCGTCATAATTCATTATCAAACGTCATAGGATGTCGTACTCGCATTAGTGACATGATGAGTCGAATACTTTCCCAACTCGAGTAACTCGAATTCGAAAACATTGCCAACTCGAGTTTGGACTCGAGTCAACAACTCGGTGCCGTATACATTCGGCGCAGCAAGTTGGCGAGTAAAACAACTCGGGTTACCCGACTTTGCCAACTCGAGTCGACAACTCGATGTGCTTACATTCGGCGCTGCGAGTCGAGTCTATGTGGAGTTGACGAGTAAAGCAATTCGAATAACGATTACTCGAGTAAACGAATAACGCGCGGTTGATATCTCGATACGTGTAAATAATTCAGTTTCGCTATCGCACTCGTGACTCCGTTTAGTTCTTGTACGTGTAACTCAGTCTCGCTCTCACGCGCATGACTCGCATCCGTTTGTACTGACTCGAGTTATAATAAAGACGACTCGAGTTGTCTCGAGTTTAACGAGTTAAAATACTCGACTCGTGTTCAAGTCAATACGCGAAGTTCAATTATCTATTGCTAATACCATTTCGAATCATAGCGATACGCGAGCGGACCAGACCACCCGTCGGACATCCTGGCGCCTGGCCGTCCGTTAAGGGTAAGAGGCGACCCTCGAACACCTCGGGCAGGGCATTCTTTCCCAGCGACCTGGGTGTTCTTTCCTCTAGTCCATGTCTGCCTTCTATCACGTCTCACATAGTTCACATTACCCGCGACCCTCTTCGCTTTCTCCGTTTCATGTAAGTCTCGCTCTTGAGGTCCATAACTTAAAATCTTAAATTCTAAAACATGGACTCGTACCGTCAAGTACTTTTCGAGCACCATGGTCCTGTAGCCCTTCAGCTGGTCCTTTCCCAGAATTCCTCGTCCTTTAGCCCATTTTTGCTTTCCCCACCTACGACTCAAAATGCATAAACTTTTCCCCTTCTCACTATCCTGCAGCCAATTATCGCTCTTGGTAAATGCATCCTAACTTTGTCTTAACCTATTCTCGACGACGTTCCTAAAAAACTCCTCCCCCGATTCCAGCATCCCGAAGCTCCTAACTCGAATCGCTCTGCCGGTTCGTTAGATAAAATTCATCTCCCGCGAGAACAACTAGTCTCCGGCATTACGCGCTCAATCTCTCGCACAAGTTCTAAGTCCACTCGCGCTAGTGGCCCGCTCAATCAAGCTCGATACTCGTGACCCGGCATAACTTATCGTTCAATTAGTCACTTCACTCTGTCTATTAATTGTTAAATCTGATTGATTTGTTAATTATTACTAGTGGTAAATAAACGTTTAAGTCTTGTTACGCATTTCGCACCTGGCAAAGCTTTTCCTCTCTCGTGTTCGCAAGCAGCTCGAACAACTCGTCACATCACTAACTCGCATATTATCAGTAATTGTTTGCTAGTAGAATGAAATCATAATAGTCGTTAAGTAAAATCAAATAGTTTATCACTTACATATTTTCAATGAAAGTCTAATTTGTCATGTAATATCTAACTATTGTCAAGTACCATAAAATAATTAAAAATAAACAATTTTATAATTTTGGGTAAAATTCCGTTATCTTTTTTAATTAAATGTATCAAAAATTAATATTATTTTAAGGTAACTTAAATTATAACATTAATATAACATTAATATAACATGTTACATAACACGTTACCTTACTGAGTGAGAAATAACAACTAACATCTAACTTCCATGTTAGTTTTATGTTACATAACATGCTAGTTTCGAAAACATAACAATAACCCAACAGTTGTATAACAGTGTTCACTGGGCGTATCACTTGCACTGATCGAGATGTACTGCAGCGGACTTCATAAGTGCAAAAAATATTCATTCCTTAATAGGCTTTGGTAGCATCATGATTAGCGTTACTGCTTCCTACCCAGGAGTATTGGGTTCGAATTCCAACAATTGCAACAAAATTTTCTGTGTTAAAAACGGCAGGATTTGTCTGCGCAGCTGTACTGAACAGATTCTCACACAGACTCAGCTGAAAAAAATGTTATGAATTTCTTTTTTTTTTCCATATACATATGCATATCGAATAAATATCTACAGACGTGGGTTAACCATCTATTGTGGATATCTATGACCAAGAAACTCGATAGAGTTGCGCGCCAAATACATTTAAATGCATGCGGGAACGGCACCGAATACTTTACGCCAAAGTTCGGCCCGTCAATTCGATAAATATTTTTTTCTCGAATAAGAAAACTTATTATGGAAACTTATTTGGCATAACGAAAGTACGTTCCGTTTTTAAGAGCTTGTGATTTTTTCATATTTTTTAGAGCTATCAACTATACGCTACGCCAATTTTAAAATATTCAAGG